GATTTTCTTTCACAGCATTAAGCCCAATACAAGTATGCACAATGCGCCAAGAAAATTTGACAAAGCCTAAAATTATTTGCTGTCTTCAAATTATCCTTCTCTCTTTTCAAACATCTTTTACAGAGCAAATATTCAAAATTTCCCTAGGACTTTCTAATATCTTTATATTTCAAAACAACAGAACTATTACATCAGACGTCCATTTAGAGACCTATGCAACCCTGGCAAGAGAGAGGACAAATTGACAATGCCACCAAATAAAGACTATCTGAGAATTCTCTTATCCTGAGCTATAGAGTGCTTGAAGATTACTGCCAGGATCCCTTCTGGAAAAAAAGGCTTATCTTCTCTGCCTAACAGCCTTGAAACATTTCAGAGTAAAAATCAACTTTCAAGTCAGAGAAAAGAAAACCACGCACCACGCACGCCTGTGTTTGGATCCGGAATACACATCCCTGAGAATCAGATCCCTCGGTTTACTTACGTGCTGTACACAGACAGGAAAAGTTCAGGGAAATCTGCTCCCTCTGGGAGCAACGATTCCATCTACAGTCGGCTGTTGGGAAGTGAGTATGACACGCGTTTGCTCTCACTCTCATCCCCAGGCGGAGGGGGAAAAAAAAAATCCCAAACTGCTCTTTCAAGTCACATTCACAAGGGCATCCTAGCACCACCAAGCTCTTCCTCCAAGGCAGCCCGGGGGATGGGGGTGGCTGTGGATTTCCACCTCACGCCCTGAGCCCGCCGGCTCTGGAGAGGTGCCAGGTCAGGACACATAGGGAGACGCTAGAACCACCAATCTCCAGTGCTACGTCTTCCCAGCCAGCTCAGGGGCGGCAAACCACACCAGCAACCCTTTTGGGGACCGCTTTACACACCTCAAGTTCCCAAACAAACCAGAAACTCCTTCAACCCCCTCACCCCCAGAGAAGCTGTTTATTCCTTTCAAACTCCCAACTGTTATAATAGTGAGAGCTAATTGCTAACAATACTGGGGGGGGCGGGGAACAAGGTCCCCACACAGGGGAGGGTGACAGACCACACAAAGAGCCATGACAGTAATAGGCACCCTTGAGGAGAAAGAAGGCGATCAATTATAACCCATTTGCAGAAATTGCGGGGCTGTCAAAAGCCCTACTTACAGCTGTGCTTCATCAAGCCAGGCTGCGTTTGATTTTCAAGGGAAATTATTCCTTATTCTCAAATCTAGTATACGGTGAGTGAAATACCCCAAACAGCCCAGGTTCAACCAGGATCTTAACAGAAATTAATGATCCCCAAGAGGGCTGATGGGCCAGCATGGGAAGCCCAGGAAACAGGGAGGTCTCCCTTCTGGGGAGTGACCACCTCCTATGGGCACCAGGGGACACTGCCAGAGCCAGCACACACTGGACATGCATCATCAAACTCCCAGATCACCATTTGAAAAACAGACAAGCATTGCTTTTAGATGTCACCCACTGTTTCCTAGGCGGCTAACAATAAGAACAGAAATTTTATTTTTTAATTCTGCAGTTCAACACTTCCTTTTCACTACCATCCATCACAGTGATCACTTCTGATGATCACAGATTCTTCTTTGCCAAGGAACAAAGAATATGTAAACTCAGTAGCTGCAATGCATTTGCTTGAATGTTTTTAAAATGCACTGACATCCATTATTATTGGTAGATCTCTTCAGATTTGAAAAAGATGAGATGATAACTGCTCCTGACTTGAGAGGAATTTGACAGCAAGTGCTTAACATGCTAATATTCTTTTTTAATATTTCTTTCTTCTGTATTCCTTGGCATTCCTTTGCTTTATCCTTTAATCATTTTAGCAGTGAAAATGAGCTCAGAGGGCTCCAATTTCGAGCTCAACTGCATCCTTCATTCCTCTTCTAAATTTCTAACTGATGCCCCAATGTTCATTTTATAAACCTTTGCTTAGTTATGATAAGTACTGTTAAGTAACAAAATGGAAATAACCTCAACATGGTAACTTTCTGCAGATTTATTTCACCGAATCTTAACATAAAGCTTGGAAAAGCATTTCCTTCTTAAGAACTTTAACTTGGAACTCAAACAGATCATGGCAGAGAGGAAACCATTATCCCTGATGGCATTAATGACCCTCCCCCACCCCCAAGCTGCCACCATATGCCAGTGCCCCCAGGCACAGGATCTTAGACAGCCCAGCTTCTTGAGGGTTTCCTTAGCATTTGCCTTGTTTAAAAAATTTAAGAGAGATTTCCCCAGAGGTACAATGGATGAGAATCTGTTTGGCAATGCAGGGGACACAGGTTGGATCCCTGGTCTGGAAAGATCCTACATGCCATGGAAAACTGAGTCCCTGTGTGGCAACCACTTGAGCCCGTGCACCTAGAGCCCCAGCTCTGCAACGGGAAGCCACTGCAGGGAGAAGCCCATGCGCCACAATAAAGAGCAGCCCCTACTTGCCACGACTAGAGAAAGCCCATGTGCAGCAACCAAGACGCAGCACAACCAAGTGTAAATAACTTTTCTTTAAATTTAAGACAATGCAGTCCAAACACATCCATTTGATGCTGTAGGATCCACTGCTTCATACACACACACACACACACACACACACACACGGTGAATCTGAGCTGTAACACTGGGTTCCCAAAAGTAAACAACCAACCGGAGTTGGAACAGAGCAGAAAGACGAAAAATCTGTATGACTTCAGTTTAGTAAAAGAAATTGCCTCCTGGTTATAACCAGACCAGTGAAAGCAGCTGCGTAACTGGTTTGCATGAGGAATTGGGAAGGAAGAGAAGGGAGATTTTGGAGGAAGTGGATAGGGAATGGGGTGGGATGAGAAAGAAAAACAGGGAAGAGAGGTAAGGACCAGGTGTCAGCAGCCACTAGAATTGGCCCTGAAGTTGGCAAGCTCTAACCCCATCCCCTCCGCCCCAAACCGAAGGCCACCAGTCACCTGAGGCTGTACCACTGGCCATGACCAAGGCACCAGCTCCTGGTAGCATTAGTTTAAGCCCAACTGGGGTGTGGCCAGGCTGTAAGTCTTATTCAAATACCTGTGATGGTTTATATTTCCTCTTCTTGCTTTGTATTTAAGATGAACACAAGAGAGAGAAACCATGAATAATCTCAAGGTCAGTTAAAACTGGACTCTGAACTAAAAGACATCATGTCAGATGGACCATTCCTGAAAGGAGAGCTGACTAAGAACAGTTAAAAATGCAGGAAAGGAATGTGACAAGCGTTGGTGAGGATGTGAGAAATCGGAGCCATTGTACATTGCTGGTGGGAATGGGAAACGGGTGCAGAGCGGGCTGGACATGACAGTCAGACTGTTGTGCAGAAAGCGAAACACAGAATTACCACATGACCCAGCAATTCCACTCCGAGTGGCTGACCCAAAAGCTTTGAAACAGATATTTGTATGGCAGTGTCCCTGCAGCATTACTCACAACAGCCAAACGGTGGAAACAAGCCACGTGCCCATCAGTAGATGACTGGATAAACAAGACGCATTATATACATACAATGGAATATCAATCGGCCATCAAAGCAGTAACATTCTGATACAGGCTACCACACAGAGGAACCCCAAAAACATCACGCAGAAACAAAAGGACAAATATTCTACGACCACACTTCTATGCGGTAACCAGAATAGGCAAATGAGAAAGTATAATGGGGGTTACCGTGGGACCAGTGAGTGGGATGAATAGGTAGTTATTGTCTAACAGGTAGAGGGTTTCTACCAGGCAGGATGAAAAAGACCTGGATGGGAATGCAAACTAGTACAGCCGCTATGGAGAATAGTGTGGAGATTTCTTAAAAAACTGGAAATAGAACTGCCATATGACCCAGCAATCCCACTCCTCTGCATACACACCGAGGAAACCAGATCTGAAAGAGACACGTGCACCCCAATGTTCATCGCAGCACTGTTTGTAATAGCCGGGACATGGAAGCAACCTAGATGACCATCAGCAGATGAATGGATGAGGAAGCTGTGGTACATATACACCATGGAATATTACTCAGCCATTAAAAAGAATTCATTTGAATCAGTTCTAATGAGATGGATGAAACTGGAGCCCATTATACAGAGTGAAGTAAGCCAGAAAGATAAAGACCATTACAGTATACTAACACATATATATGGAATTTAGAAAGATGGTAATGATAACCCTATATGCAAAACAGAAAAAGAGACACAGATGTACAGAAGAGACTTTTGGACTCTGTGGGAGAAGGCAAGGGTGGGATGTTTTGAGAGAACAGCATTGAAACATGTATATTATCTAGGGTGAAACAGATCACCAGCCCAGGTTGGTTGCATGAGACAAGTGCTCGGGCCTGGTGCACTGGGAAGACCCAGAGGGATCAGGTGGAGAGGGAGGTGGGAGGGGGGACCGGGATGGGGAACACATGTAAATCCATGGCTGATTCATGTCAATGTATGACAAAAACCACTACAATATTGTAAAGTAATTAGCCTCCAACTAATAAAAATAAATGAAAAAAAAGAAAAAGACCTGGAAATGGTGATGGCTTACACAAAACTGTGGATGCACTTAATGCCACTGACACACACTTCAAAATGGCGACGACGGGAAACTGTATGTTTCATGTATTTCACCACAACGAAAAGACAACACCCTTAAAATAATCTTCAGCAAAATAATAGTAGTAAAGGAAAACTTGCGTAATTTTTTGTGACCTTCAGGATGCCTGAACACAGATTCTCCTTGTCAAACCACCCTAATGCACGAATGGCCACATTTGCCTGCTCTTCAGTGGGACGTCAGAGGTCATAGAGGAGGTCGGGCCAGAGTCAAGGGTTCCTACTAGAACTGCACTTTCAATAAAGAAGGAAACTATTTCCTAAAAAAAAAGAAAAAGTGTTGGCCGTTGGACCTAGGGGTAGGGTAACTCCATCTCTCTTCCCCCACCTCAGGTGCAGGCAGGAATTAACACTTGCCTGCGAATGTCCTTCGTCAAGATCTGGGACAGAGTCTTACCCTGAATGTCTGCTCCTTCTCCCTGTGGGAGGCCTGATCCAGCGTGCCATCAGTCTGACTCCTTTTCAGGCCAGTTGTGACATCAGGGACGTTGCTGAAATCTGCGTGAAAAGTGACAAAAACATAGGCGAGTTTGGCCATCTGTACAGAATAGTAGTGACCAACTTAAAGGCTCAGACAGAAAGAGAGCGAAGGAAAAAATTAAAACCTAGAAGGCAGGACATCATGGTCCTCAGTGATACAGTAGTTAGCATATGCACAGCTGGGCTTCTGAAATAGACCTGGGCCCTGGCTAATGGAAGCAGCAACATCTGACTGTTTGGTCAGAGAAGGCCAATGACCAAGCAAAACAATAACTTAAATGCCTGGCAGATTTTGTCAAACTCGATTGTTGTGCAAACTTCACTAAGTACTTTATATAAAGTGTTGGTTACTTCCCTTTCTTTATTTTTGGCTAGGTGATGGTAAAGGATAACTGGGCAAACCAGGGATGTAACACCACAGATTCTTATTACAACCCACAACTTGCTCATTTGCAAGCATCATTGTTCTTTTTCTGGCATGAACCACAATTGCAATGTAAATTGAAAGTCCCAAGAGGAACAGCAAACCTTGTTAACTTTCAGAGTTAGAGTTAAGAAATAATATAAAAGGATGAGTTAAGAAATGATATAAAAGGTTAAGTAGAGCATGTGGTTTTCCAATCTGCACTTAAACATGTACACTATTTTCAATAGTTCTTTCCAGAGGTTCTCAAATTAAACTCAAGAAAGATGAAATGACCAGCTTCTACCAAAACCACACACAGGTTTTCATTCTAATTTTTGTATTTAGTAGACTTTCCCCTCAAGTAGGCAAACCAGATGGTTTCTGATTCCAGTCAACTATAACAAGTCATCAAACTCATACCTGTCTGAGTTGATCTAGGCGGAAAAGACAGCGATAAGACAGTGGCAAACCATCCAGCATGCAGGGGGCAAGGGCAGTGGTCTCTAGTAGACCTTTAGAAGCTATGGGAGCCCTAGGAGGTTGATGGACCTCATGGACAGAAATGCTGGTCCATGATCCAGGCTGATATTACCAATCACTACACAAGAGGAGACCTAAAGAAAATGTCTTAATGGTCTACAGAATTCTAGGGCTCTTATTTCTTCTTCCTTTTACTTCTCCCAACACCCTGACCCCACCCAGAAAAGGACCACACTGTCTAGGCCACACTTCATTGTTGTTGGCTGTAGTTAGCCCCATAACACAGTGCTGATCACAAAAGCATAAGCCATCCCTGGGCAAATTTCAGGAAGAAACGACAGATGGGGATACCAAACTCACCTCTCCAGGCCCCTAACACCACACCAGAGAAGAGTCCGCTCACCAACAGGCTGACCACATGAGAAGCAAGGTCAGACTCTAAACCAAAAGTGATGCACCCCACTGTTCCTCCACCACTGAGGCTGCTACATGCACCTCTGTGTAAAGAAGACCGACCAACAGAAAACAGGTCACATTCTTCCTGTATTCAACACAAACGCACCTCTCCATCCATGCATTCAACACGCACTTTTTGAAAACGGGCTCTTTTCCAGGCACTGTGCAAGGTGCTGGGGATACAAAGATGATGAGACGCAGTCCCTGCTCTCAGGATGTGCTTCTGGTGAGGGAGGGGGAGACAGAAACATAAGCACAGCAAACTACCAGAGATGACGTGAGAAGAAGCCACACAGGGCTGAGAAGGGCCACTCTGGGAGGAAGTTAATTCTCCCTGGGGCCCTAACAGCCTTCAGAGCAAGGCAGGCACTTCAGCAAAGTCTTAAGTGGGGGATAGTGGGGGAAGGGGAGGGGAAGGTAGCCCAAGGGTGGAGGAATTGATGGAAGGCAGGACTTGGGCAGAAAAACAGGCCAGAAAGTCACAGCAACAGAGATGGAACGAGGAGGAAGGATCCAAATGAATGCAGAATAGCATGAACACAGGGAAGTCAAGTGAACAGAGAGAGTCTGCACAGGTCAACTCCACGGGTCTCCTCTTCACCACCTATTTCATATAAGGAGATGCAGACAAGGCAGGCATGAAGGCAGAGTGTGGCTTTGATGTCTCAGGTGACAGGGTAGATGGGACAGAAGTGGGCATCCCAAGATTGGCTTTGCCAGAGCTGAATCTGAGATGCACATGGACCATCCAATGCAACACACCTAGGTGTCCAGTGGTGAAAGAAAGGTCTGCACAGGAATGTGGCTTTGGAGCCATCATCATGCCCTTGGCTGTGAAACCATGGGGATGGATGGTGCTCCCCGGGGAGAATGTGCAGATGGGTACAAGAACAGGACCAAGGAGAGAACCCTGGAACCACCAAGGCACTGTACACAGGGGAGGAGAACTCTCTCTTTAGAGAGAAGTCACAGAGAAGTACAAGGGAATCAAGAGCAATGTCACAGGTGCCATGTGATAAAAAAGTACATTACCTAGGCAACAGAGACAAATTTGCTTTATTTCTGCCTTTATCTTTCTCCATTCATTTATTTTGCCTTTATTTTAAAAACAAAAAGCTCCAATATTTCCAAAGAGTTGTATTAAATACAGGAAATAGGACATGCAATCAATGCATTTATCTGTGAAGACGATTTCTATAGCACCTACTTTGTGTCAGGTATGCACTAAGTTCTGGGGACACAAAAATGAAGGTGACCTCAAGTCCCCTGAAAATCTCAGAGACATCATGGCCACAAGGAGCCATGGAGCCCGGAGGCACCAGATGGATGCTGGAGAAAATAACACGGCTGATGTCAAAAGCGGGTGCCAAGTTTGAGTTCTGAGTCATCTCTTCAATATATTCACAAAATTTTGGAACTTAGATGCTGGAAACTCCCAGAACCACCTTTTATCTCTTACAAAGGCAAAGTGCTTACCTGCTAACGGAACATATTTCATGCCCTTCCTCTCCAAACCCTGCCCAACCCAGGATGAAAGGCTTTACTATGAATCAGAGAGGTGCCGCTTAATTGCATGGAGCCCCTGGATGCAGCTGGCATCCTCTCTGAGGCAGGATCTGAACAGGAGGGGTCCTAGGATCCAGTTCCCACCAAGGCTGGACCCTGGGATCCAAGAGGAGGACACAGCTCTGCCAAGACAGGAAGTCTCGGAGCTGTTCCGCTACCCAAATTGCAAGAGGGTAACTGGTATCTGGAGCCACAGAATCTCTGGGATGACTGACTCCTTCTCCAGCCCCCCAGCAATGCGCCCGCTCTGTCCTGGAGGTGACAAAGCACGAGGAAGCCCAGTTTGACAGTGTCCTCGACCTTGGATCTGGGTCCAGGAGCCTCAGATTTCAACTGAACCGGCGTCCCTGTCTGTAAAAAAAGTAGCATGCCCTTGGTGTTCTGACTAGAGGAGAAATGAGAACAAAGTAGGTTCTGGAAGAAGAGCAGAATTGCTGAAGAGTAGGCCGGTACAATTCAAACGCTTATTTACAAAGCGGTTCTAAACAGGCGCCGTGCTGACATCCTGTCCTGGGTGCCAAACGCCTATGTAGAGCCCCACTTACACTCTGCCCACAGCCTGAGCACCAGCTGCTAAAGTGAGTAAATATATATCCTTCCCCTCGCAGCCAAAAACGGGCTCCCCACCTTGGGAGAGCCTCTGTGTGGTCCTGTCCCCTTGACACGTGTTGGGCCACTGGATCCCTATCACAGATCACCAGGCACATGCTTCCCGCCCACCCCAGACTCTGCTGCTGCGGAACAGATGTTCAGATGCACTGCATAAGAGTCCTTAGCCAATGTGGTTGTAAATAATGAAAAATTTAAGTCAAGACATCTATTTATAACCGGTAAATACATTCTTGTTTTTCTCACCTTATTCCCTGTGGAAATTAACAATTTGGGGTGAGGTCTAACAATTTGAAATATCTAACATTTGATGCTGGAGAAGCCTCTTGAGAGTCCCTTGGACAGCAAGGAGATCAAACCAGTCAATCCTAAAGGAAATCGACCCTGACCATTCATTGGAAGGACTGATGCTGAAGCTCCAATACTTTGGCCACCTGATGAGAAGGAGCTGACTCATTGGAAAAGACCCTGATGCTGGGAAAGATTGAGGGCAGGAGGAGAAGGGGACGACAGAGGATGAGACGGTTGGATGGCTTCACTGACTGAATGGACGTGAGTTTGTGCAAATTCTGGGAGATAGTGAAGGACAGAGAAGCTTGGTGTGCTGCAGTCCATGGGGTCGCAAAGAGTCAGACATGACTTGGCGACTAAACAACATCATCTAATTGGCTGACATGAGCTTCTGCTCAGCGGTGAGCAGAGATGTCTCAAGTCTTAGGCTCCATTCCTCCGTGTGGACCACGAATTCCATTTATTTATTTCTGGTCAGATGGGCACTGAGCAGTGCACGCTCACGGGTACCAGGTCCTATGTCAGGTGTGGCACACGAGACCAGCCTCAGACATCTCTCCCCTTTAAAAACAAATGATTTTGAAGAGTAATGACATCCTGGGCAGGCTGTACCGGGAGTTGACTGTCCCCTGCTTTCTTGCACACTCTACCGTTTCTGTGGGGGACCGAGGGAAACATGAGACTCCAGGTGTGAGACCCCTGGAAACTCAGTGTCTTCCAGTTCTGAGCATCAGTACAGACCCCACAGCTATCCCAGGCAGCCAAGTAACTGGCAACCCTAAACTCTTTATAATGAAGGGCAAAAACCTGTGCTCAATAACATCCTGGGTATCAACTTAAAATCAGAAATGTTAGGGCTTCCCTGGGGACTCAATGGTGAAAAGTCCACCTGTCAATGCAGGAGACATGGGTTTGATCCCTGGTCCAGGAAGATTCCACATGCCATGGAGCAACTAAGCCCATGTACCGCAACTGCTGAGCCTGCGCTCTAGAGTCCGAGAACCACAACTACCAAGCCCATATCTGCAGCTACTGGAGCCTGAACGCTCTCAAGCCTGTGCTCCGCAACAAGAGAAGACACAGCCACGAGGATCTTGTGCACCGCAACTAAACAGTAGCCCCCACTCACTGCAACTAGAGAAGAGACTGTGCAGCAGTGAAGACCCAGCACAGCCAAATACAAAAATTAGTTAAAGAACAGAAACGTCAG